GGTTCTGTTTTGACAGATTCATCCCAACACACTTTCACCAGTTTCACCTGTACGAACGCTGGCAAAATTGCCAATACTAGAGATCCCACCAGAATGCAACTGGAGTCTTACCTGAAAAAACACCTGAAATCACATGGGAACGCACCTGAAACCCCGCCAAAAACCCACCCGGAGATCTACATGGAAATCCATTTTAAAAGGCACATGGGGTCTCACCTGAAAAGGCACCTGAAGCCTCACCTGGAGCACGAGCTGGTCGATATAGGCAGGGAGGTGCCTCATAAGCTCCCTGGAATACACCTTCCCCAGCTTCACCTCCTCAAACGCTGACATCAGCGCCGCCCGCACCACCTTGCGCCTCTCCTGCAGCGCGAGCGCCACGGGGCTGTCCCGGGAAACTTCCAGGCTGCTTCCGCTGTTGCTGCTTCTACCGCTCCTGCTGCTGCTTTGAGACGGCAAGGAGGGTATACCGTTTCCTGAAAATTCCAGCCTGGGTATTCTAGCAGACTCCAGAGGGGCATTCTTACTGCTGCTGCTGCCATCCCTGGTGAAAGAAGTGTTCTTCCTGCCGCTCTTCCTGGTGCTGCTACTGTCAGTGGCCGCCGCTGCTGCTCTGCTCCGGGTCACACTGGAAACACCATCACCCACCACCACCACCACCACAACACCACCATCACCATCGTCATCAGCAACACTGGTAATCCCTGCGCATGGGATATCCCCCTCCTCCTCATCCCATGGCCACTGCTGCTCCTGTGTGCGTGACTGCCCTCCCAGCCCGCCGCCCTTTGAAGCCCTGCCAGGGGAAGGAGTCGGGCTCTCAGCACGATCTGCTGCATGTGACTCTGCTGTGTTCAGTGCCGATGCTACCATTGCTGCTCGTGATTCGGCTTGCTCTCCTGCGTGTGATTCTGCTGCGTCTGGCTCTTCTGTGTCGAATGGTGGATATGCCACTCGTGCTCGTGTGGGTTGATCACCAACACTTGCAGCCACCACCACAATTGTTTTGCGGCTGCTGTTCCTGCTGCTGCTGCTGCTCCTGCTCCTGCTGCTGCTCCTGCTGCTCCTGTGCTGCTGCGCTCCGCTCCTGCTGCTACTGCCGCTGGTCGGTCAGGGAACTGTGATTGCTCGTGAAATGCTGCTGTGGGCGCACCATCGGTAGAACCCCCGACTGCTGCTGTGGATGGTGAGTGCGACTGCTCGTTCAGTAATCCACTGGCACTTACCACGGCTGTATCAGCAACCACAGCACCACTGGAAGACCCACCAGCACCTGCTGCAGCTGCAGCTGCTGCTGTGGCTGATGATACAGCGTCCTGCCATGGAAAAACCCCTTCTCCTCTCACTCTCTCTACTCCTACTCCTTCCCCTTCCATGCCTTCTCCATCCCTCTCTAACCATCCCGCCCTACTCTCAACTTCCACCTCAGTCCCTCTCATACCCCCGTCCCTTGCAGTACTCCCGTCCGTTCCACTCCCCTCATCCCCTCCACTCCCCCCATCCCCTCCACTCCCCCCATCCCCTCCACTCCCCCCCTCTCCTCCACACTCCCCCATCCTCGCCTTCCATCCACCATGCTCGTTTCCCTCTCTTCTCCCAGGAAGGAGCCACCCACGCGTCTACCCTGCTGCTGCGACTACTGCTCGTCCTTTCCGCCCCAACCCCTCCTCCCCCCTCAGCTCCCCTTGTTCTCAAATTCCCATTCCCTCTCTTTTCCCAAGAGGGAGGCACCCACGCGTCTACCCTGCTGCTGTGACTGCTGCTGCTCGCCCGTTGAGTCCCTCTCCCTCCTCCCCCAACTCTCCCCTCTGGCCCCATTGCTCTCGACTCCCCATTCCCTCTCTTCTCCCAAGATGGCCCACCCACCCGTCTGCCCTGCTCCGCTGCCTCACTCTCTCGTCTCTGCTGTCGCTGCTCATTCCTTGCGCCCCTCCCTCCTCTCCCCTCTTCTCCCCTTGCCCATGCAGCTACCCTGCTTTCACTCGTTCCCGTCTGCCCCTCTTCATCTCCTCTTCTCTCTGCTCCCTCCTTTTCCCCTCCCGCCTCTCTCCCCCCTCCCGCCCCCCCTACCCCCTGCCGCCTCTCTTCCCCCCGCCGCCTCCCGCGTCTCCACTGCGCCTCTGCGCCAAACTGCGCCTCTCACTGCATTCGCTCCACCCCTCTTTCCCCCTCCCGCGCGGTCCATTTCCGCCCCTCCCCTGGCGCATTCCGCCCCTCCCCGGTGAACCCCACCCCTCCCATAGAGCATTCCGTCCCTCCCCCACCGCATTCCGCCCCTCCGCACCGGTTCCCTCCCCCGTTTCCCACACAACGGACGGCCTCCTCCGCTGCCCTCCGCCGCTCCGACCGCCATTAGTCGTCCAATCGCGCTCATCTATCGCGCACAAGGTTAACCTTCTCTGATTGGCTAAAATAGCAGGGAATTCTACTCTAACCCATGGGTATTCTGATCTGATCGCGCTCGTTAGAGTGTCAGGCCGAATGAGTGTTCTACACGGGTGGTTTCCGGCCGGTATTTGCGCTCGAGCCGCCGAAATTCGCGTTCGGCCCGTGGGAGTTCGCGCTAGGAGTGTGGTTGCGGGAAGTGCCATGCGGCTTCGAAACGGGTGTTGATGTTGTCGTAAAGTGGAAGCCGCGAACGGAGATGCCGAGTGCGCGATCGCGCGGAACACGCGCCTTGAACAGACATGGCGACGAAACGGCGTCGACGGGACCACGACGATGCTGCACAACGACATACGCGATGGCTGCGATGCGAATTTGAGCTGTTCACGCCAGGCCAAAATCATTGAGGGCGATGGTGGTGTGTTACGAACAAACCGCGCGGGAAACGGCTGATGGACGCGAATGATTCGGTACTCGTTAGTGACATTCGTGATTTCGCGAAAAAGAAAGCCCAAACAAAGCGATGAAGAGTAAATAAATGCAGTTACAGTCCAAGGCAAACAAAATATATGGTAAAAAACTTTGTGAAATGTGCCCACTGAAAGCTCGTGACAACAAAGAAGCACAACACAGCATTTCCTCTGCAATGGCAAGAAAATTATACATGATTTTTACTCCCCGAAGGTCCACACTGCTTCATTCTCTCCCCACCATTGCCCTGGTCCTGTCACATCTCCCCATATTCTGGTTGAATCTCCCCCCATACCCCCCGCACCCCAGGTAGGTAGTCCTTGTGTGTCCCAGAAATCTCCTGCGCGCACGCCAGGGGCCGTCCCCTCAACCCCCAATCCCTGCCAGAGCTGTGCCAAAAACTTGCAGAAAGCGAGGAAATAGTGCCACATTCTGCTCACATCTCCCCTCCATACCCTCCCGACCCCAAGTAGTCCTTGTGATTCCCAGAGATGGCCTGAGTCTTCTGGTGCTCGAGCTTGGGGCACTCGCTGATGCGATGGCCAAGGCCGCCACAGAAGGCACACCCGCGCACACCAGAGGCGGCGGCGAGAGCCTCTGCGTCCTCCATGGGGTCGTCCAGGGAGGCCAGCACGGGGGGGATGCGCTGCTTCGCCTCCCGCAGCAGATGCTTCAGATCCAGCAGAATCGTCTCGCTCTGTTGCAGGAAGGGGTGGGGGGAAGTGGGAGCAGGGGAAGCAGGGAAAGCGGGAGAACCAGGAGGGGAAAACAGGGGTTAAAACCCACTTGACCCCTCAGCACCGGACCGCACCACCAGGACCCCTCAGCACTGCACTGCACCAACCTGGACCCCTCAGCACTGCACTGCACCCACCTGGAACCCTCAGCACCGCAAAGCACCGACTTGGACCCCTCAGCACCGCACTGCACCCACCTGGACCCCTCAGCACCGAACTGCACCCACCTGGACCCCTCAGCACCGCACTGCACCCACCTGGACCCCTCACCAGTGCACTGCACCCACCTGGAACCCACAGCACCGCACTGCACCAACCTGGACCCCTCACCACCGCACTGCACCCACCAGGACCCCTCAGCACCGCACTGCACCCACCTGGACCCCTCAGCACCGCACTGCAACCACCTGGACCCCTCAGCACCGCACTGCACCAACCTGGACCCCTCGGCACTGCACTGCACCCACCTGGAACCCTCAGCACCGCAAAGCACCCACTTGGACCCCTCAGCGCCGCACTGCACCCACCTGGACCCCTCAGCACACGAACTGCACCAACCTGGACCCCTCAGCACCGCACTGCACCCACCTGGACCCCTCAGCACCGCACTGCGCCCACCCGGACCCCTCAGCACCGCACTGCACCCACCTGGACCCTCAGCACTGCACTGCACCTGTGAGGACCTCACCTGGTTCTTGTTGATGAACGTGGTGGCAATCCCCGTCTTCCCGCAGCGCACCGCCCGTGCGGCCGATGCGGTGAACATAGTTCTCAATCTCAGCGGGCATGTCATAGTTCACCACGTGCTGAATGTCCGGGAAGTCCAGCCCCTTGGACGCCACATCAGTCGCCACCAGCACATCCTTCCTCCCGGCCTTGAACGCCGCGATTGCCGCCTCGCGCTCCTCCTGGTCCTTCCCTCCGTGCACTGCCACCGCCTCCACTCCCTTGAGCAGCAGGTACTCGTGAATGTCGTCCACGTCGGCTTTGTTCTCGCAGAAAATCAGAACCGGAGGCGGCGTTTTTTGGAGGCATTCGAGGAGGTACACGATCTTGGCCTCCTGCTTCACGTACTCCACCTCCTGAATCACGTCCAGATTCGCTGCACCTGCACGCCCCACATTAACCATAACCGGCTTCACCAGGGCACTTTTCGCAAACGCCTGGATTTTCTTGGGCATGGTGGCGGAAAACAGCAGCGTCTGGCGCTGGGCTTTAAAGTGGTCGAAAACCTCTCTGATATCATCCTCGAAACCCAAGTCAATGAGCCTGTCGGCTTCATCCAAGCACAAGTACTTGCATATGTCCAGGTTCATGCGCTTTTTGTTAAGTAAGTCTTTTAGCCGACCAGGCGTGGCGACCACCATGTGCACTCCGCGTTTGACCACCTCCAGCTGCTGCCGCATGTCAATGCCCCCTATGCACAGCATGCTGCGCAGCTCTGGGTATCTGAGAATGGAAATAGGGGGGGCAGGGAAGGCAAGTGAAGCAAGGAGTGTGATGAGACGCAAGGGATTGATGAGAGAGTGGGAAAAGCTTGACCACCTGCCTCTGCTCTGGGTACCTGCAAGATAGAAAGCAAGGGAAGAGATTTGAGGCGCCTCAAAACCCATCTCATTACATGCGGAGCTCAGGGCACTGGGAATTGAAATAGGGGAGAAAAGAGAGGTGAGGGGAGGAAGGGGAGGAAACGGGTGATGAGAGACGCAAGGCTGTGACGGGAGCCGAACCGTCCGGATGCTCGATCACCTTCAGCTGCCCCTTCAGCTGCCCCCTTCAGCTGCCACCTTCGGCTGCCCCCTTCGGCTTCCCCTTCGGCTGCCCCCTTCGGCTGCCCCCTTCGGCTGCCCCCTTCGGCTGCCCCCTTCGGCTGCCCCTTCGGCTGCCCCCTTCGGCTGCCCCCTTCGGCTGCCCCCTTCGGCTGCCCCCTTCGGCTGCCCCTTCGGCTGCCCCCTTCGGCTGCCCCCTTCGGCTGCCCCCTTCGGCTGCCCTTCGGCTGCCCCCTTCGCTGCCCCCTCGGCCCCCTTCGGCTGCCCCCTGCTTCGGCTGCCCCCTTCGGCCCCCTTCGGCTGCCCCCCTTCGTTCCCCTTCGGCTGCCCCCTTCGGCTTCCCTTCGGCTGCCCCCTTCGGCTGCCCCCTTCTGCTCGGCTGCCCCCTTCGGCTGCCCCTTCGCTGCCCTTCTGCCCCTTCGGCTGCCCTTTCGGCTGCCCCTTCGCCCCCCTTGCGGCTGCCCCCTTCGGCTGCCTTCCTGCCCCCCCTTCGGCCCCCTTCGGCTGCCCTTCGGCTGCCCCCTTCGCTGCCCCTTGGCTGCCCCCTTCGCTGCCCCCTTCGGCTGCCCCCTTCGGCTGCCCCCTTCGGCTGCCCCTTCGGCTGCCCCCTTCGGCTGCCCCCTTCGGCTGCCCCCTTCGGCTGCCCCTTCGGCTGCCCCCTTCGGCTGCCCCCTTCGGCTGCCCCCTTCGGCTGCCCCCTTCGGCTGCCCCCTTCGGCTGCCCCCTTCGGCTGCCCCTTCGGCTGCCCCCTTCGGCTGCCCCCTTCGGCTGCCCCCTTCGGCTGCCCCTTCGGCTGCCCCTTCGGCTGCCCCCTTCGGCTGCCCCCTTCGGCTGCCCCCTTCGGCTGCCCCCTTCGGCTGCCCCCTTCGGCTGCCCCCTTCGGCTGCCCCCTTCGGCTGCCCCCTTCGGCTGCCCCCTTCGGCTGCCCCCCTTCGGCTGCCCCCTCGGCTGCCCCCTTCGGCTGCCCCCTTCGGCTTGCCCCCCCTTTTCGGCTGCCCCCTTCGGCTGCCCCCTTCGGCTGCCCCCCCTTCGGCTGCCCCCCTTCGGCTGCCCCCTTCGGCTGCCCCCTTCGGCTGCCCCCTTCGGCTGCCCCCCTTCGGCTGCCCCCTTCGGCTGCCCCCTTCGGCTGCCCCCCTTCGGCTGCCCCCTTCGGCTGCCACCCCTTCGGGCTGCCCCCTTCGGCTGCCCCCTTCGGCTGCCCCCTTCGGGCTGCCCCCTTCGGCTGCCCCCTTCGGCTGCCCCCTTCGGCTGCCCCCTCGGCTGCCACCTTCGGCTGCCCCCCTTCGGCTGCCCCCTTCGGCTCTGCCCCCTCTGGCTGCCCCCCCTTCGGCTGCCCCCTTCGGCTGCCCCCTTACGGCTGCCCCACTTCGGCTGCCCCCTTCGGCTGCCCCCTTCGGCTGCCCCCTTCGGCTGCCCCCTTCGGCTGCCCCCTTCGGCTGCCCCCTTCGGCTGCCCCCTTCGGCTGCCCCCTTCGGCTGCCCCCTTCGGCTGCCCTTCGGCTGCCCCCTTCGGCTGCCCCCTTCGGCTGCCCCTTCGGCTGCCCCCTTCGGCTGCCCCCTTCGGCTGCCCCCTTCGGCTGCCCCCTTCGGCTGCCCCCTTCGGCTGCCCCCTTCGGTGCCCCCCTTCGGCTGCCCCTTCGGCTGCCCCCTTCGGCTGCCCCTTCGGCTGCCCCCTTCGGCTGCCCCCTTCGGCTGCCCCCTTCGGCTGCCCCCTTCGGCTGCCCCCTTCGGCTGCCCCCTTCGGCTGCCCCTTCGGCTGCCCCCTTCGGCTGCCCCCTTCGGCTGCCCCCTTCGGCTGCCCCCTTCGGCTGCCCCCTTCGGCTGCCCCTTCGGCTGCCCCCTTCGGCTGCCCCCTTCGGCTGCCCCCTTCGGCTGCCCCCTTCGGCTGCCCCCTTCGGCTGCCCCCCTTCGGCTGCCCTCCTTCGGCTTGCCCCCTTCGGCTCTGCCCCCGTTCGGCGCTTGGCCCCCTTCGGGCTGGCCCCCTTCGGCTGCCCCCTTCGGCTGCCCCCCTTCGGGCTGCCCCCTTCGGACTGACCCCTTCCGGCTGCCCCCTTCGGTGCCCCCTTCGGCTGCCCCCTTCGGCTGCCCCCTTCGGCTGCCCCCTTCGGACTTGCCCCCTTCGGCTGCCCCTTCGGGCTGCCCCCTTCGGCTGCCCCCTTCGGCTGCCCCCTTCCGGCTGCCCCCTTCCAGGCTGCCCCCTTCGGCTGCCCCCTTCGGCTGCCCCCTTCGGCTGCCCCCTTCGCTGCCCCCTTAGGCTGCCCCCCTTCGGCTGCCCCCTTCGGCTGCCCCCTTCGGCTGCCCCCCTTCGGCTGCCCCCTTCGGCGGCCCCCTTCCGGCTGCCCCCTTCGGCTGCCCCCTCGGCTGCCCCCCTTCGGCTGCCCCCTTCGGCTGCCCCCCTTCGGCTGCCCCCTTCGGCTGCCCCCTTCGGCTGCCCCCTTCGGCTGCCCCCTTCGGCTGCCCCTTCGGCTGCCCCCTTCGGCTGCCCCCTTCGGCTGCCCCCTTCGGCTGCCCCCTTCGGCTGCCCCCTTCGGGCTGCTGCCCCCTTCGGCTGCCCCCTTCGGCCTGCCCCCTTCGGCTGCCCCTTCGGCTGCCACCTTCGGCTGCACCCTTCGGCTGCCACCTTGGCTGCCACCTTCGGCTCGCCCACTTCGGCTGCCACCTTCGGCTGCCACCTTCGCTGCACTTGGCCCACCCTTCGGCTGCCACCTTCAGGCTACCACCTTCGGCTGCCACTTCAGGCTGCACCCTTCAGCTGCACCTTCAGCTGCCACCTTCAGCTGCCACCTTCAGCTGCCACCTTCAGCTGCCACCTTCAGCTCGCCACCCTTCAGTGCCACCTTCAGCTGCCCCCCTTCAGCTGCCACCTTTCAGCTGCCCCCTTCAGCTGCCACCTTCAGCTGCCACCTTCAGCTGCCACCTTCAGCTGCCACCTTCAGCTGCCACCCTTCAGCTGCCCACCTTCAGCTGCCACCTTCAGCTGCCACCTTCAGCTGCCACCTTCAGCTGCCACCTTCAGCTGCCACCTTCAGCTGCCACCTTCAGCTGCCACTTCAGCTGCCACCTTCAGCTGCCACCTTCAGCTGCCACCTTCAGCTGCCACCTTCAGCTGCCACCTTCAGCTGCCACCTTCAGCTGCCACCTTCAGCTGCCACCTTCAGCTGCCACCCTTCCAGCTGCCACCTTCAGCCTGCCACCTTCAGCTGCCACCTTCAGCTGCCCCCTTCAGCTACCCCCTTCAGCTGCCCCCTTCAGCTGCCACCTTCAGCTGCCACCTTCAGCTGCCACCTTCAGCTGCCACCTTCAGCTGCCCCCTTCAGCTGCCCCCTTCAGCTGCCCCCTTCAGCTGCCACCTTCAGCTGCCACCTTCAGCTGCCCCATTCAGCTGCCCCCTTCAGCTGCCACCTTCAGCTGCCCCCTTCAGCTGCCCCCTTGAGCTGCCCCCTTGAGCTGCCCCCTTCAGCTGCCCCCTTCAGCTGCCACCTTCAGCTGCCCCCTTCAGCTGCCCCCTTCAGCTGCCACCTTCAGCTGCCCCCCTTCAGCTGCCCCCTCAGTCGCCCCCTTCAGCTGCCACCTTCAGCTGCCACCTTCAGCTGCCCCCTTCAGCTGCCCCTTCGCTTCCCTTCAGCTGCCACCTTCAGCTGCCACCTTCAGCTGCCACCTTCAGCTGCCCCCTTCAGCTGCCACCTTCAGCTGCCACCTTCAGCTGCCACCTTCAGCTGCCACCTTCAGCTGCCACCTTCAGCTGCCACCTTCAGCTGCCACCTTTCAGCTGCCACCTTCAGCTGCCACCTTCAGCTGCCACCTTCAGCTGCCACCTTCAGCTGCCACCTTCAGCTGCCACCCCAGCTCTCCCTTTTCAATCAACTCTATGGCCGCCCCCTTGCCCATCTCACCCCCTTTTTTACCCATCTCACCCCCCCCCCTCCTCCCCGCCTTTCCCCCACTGAACTCACCGCTCTCTCTAATCGTTTCTCAGAGCATTAGCAAACTCGTTCACCACATCGTATGTCTGCCTGCCTGGCCAGCACCAGGCAGTGCCCACCAATCAGCTCTAGCGTCCCTACCTGCCCGTCCCGTTCCCCTACTCACTCTACTCACTCTACTCACCCTACTCAGCTTTTCAAGCATCTCAGCAGTCACCCTACCGCACTCACCGCTCTCTGCGGTCGTTCCTGAGAGCATCAGCAAACTCGTTCACCACATCGTACGTCTGCCGGGCGAGCTCTCTGGAGGGGCACACGATGAGCCCTGTGGGGCCCTCCCCTGCCACCAGCGGCATTCGCACCTCCTCCTGCAGTGCCTGTGGGGAGGAGGGTAAAGGGGAGGAGGTGCAAGAACAGTGTGTCCCCGTGCAAGGACAGAGTAATTAATGAAGTCTCTGGAGGGGCATACGATGAGCCCTGTGGGCCCACCCCCCCGCACCACCAGCGGCATGCGCACCTCCTCCTGCAAAGCCTGGCGTGTGGGGGGATAGAAGGGAGTGGGAAGGAATTGGCAGGGGTAGTGGAACAGCAATCGTGCGAGCTCTCTGGAGGGCACACATTGACTCCCGTGGGGCCCTCCCCCGCCACCAGGGGCATTCGCACCTCCTCCTCCTGTAGGGCCTGGCATGCAGAACACACCCAGCAGGGGGGGAGGATGGGATGAGATGAGGGGGGTACAAATGCTGGTTGATTGAAAAGCACCCTGTAAGGGCAGAAAATGAGCACCCTGGTTGTGTGGGTGGGTCCCTCACCCGCCTGCTACTGCAATGAGCACAAAGCCTCGCAACGGGCACTATGGGCAGCGGAAATGCTGCCACTGAGTGGCACCGGCAGCAAAACGCCCTCATATTCAGCACCATGGGCAGTAAAATTGCTCACACTGAGTACCGGGGCAGCTAGAAAAAAGCACTCTCATTAGGCAGCAACAGCAGAAGACCACTCACATTGAGCACCATGGGCAGCGCAAAGACGAGTGTTTTCCCTGATCCAGTGAAAGCAATGCCGATGATGTCCCTCCCCTCCAGCACCGCTGGCATGCCCTGCACCTGCACATGGGGTGGGGTTCAGAGCGGTACAGCGGGGTGACTAGCAATACAGCAATGGTGGCATTCTCTGCACCTGCACAGGGAGATATGAAGCGGTAGAGAGGGGTGCACATCAACACAGAGCGGTTAAGGGCCCCTCCCCTCCAACACAGGGAGTGGTAAAGAGTGGCACGAAGAGATATTAAACGGTACAGATGGGTGCAGATAGCAAAGATCAGTTGGGGATCCCCATTCTCCACCTGAACTGAATGGGCGTGGTGAGGGGAATGAGCAGCAGCACCCACCTGAATGGGAATCAAGGGAACACGCACCTGGATGGGCGTGGGGCGCAGGATGCCTTTCTTCTTGAGCACGCGCAGGCAGGGCTCGGGCAGGCGCATGTCTTTGAAGCTCTTGATGGGCGGCGGCACGCCCTCGCCGTCCACCAGGATGTGCCACGCCTTGCGGATCTCCGCCCGCTCCTCCTCGCTCATGCCTCGGATGTGGCTCGGCGGCTTCCAACCCGTCCACAGAGGCTCGGTGTACTGCGGGTGAGAGGCGGCGTGGCAGAGAGGAAAGTTGGGGAGATTTTTAGATTTTTTAAAACTCATCTCATAGTATCAGATGTGGCTGGCTGGCTTTTAGAATTCTCAAAAGCAGCTCAGGGGCTGCTCTCGGCGCACATGATGGCCTAGAATGTGGGTTCTCGCCCCACCTTAAAAGCCCTTGGCGACGTTGGGTTGGAAAGAAACAATTTCTTCTCCTCGCCCTCTACGGAACCCTGCAAACCTGAGTGGGTTCTCTTCTCTCTGCACCTGAACGCTCCTTGTCAAGCCCTTAACCGCACCTGAACACCCTTATCAAGCCCCTCATCGCACCTAAACGCCCTTATTCAGCCCTCACCGCACCTGGATACCCTTGACGCACCCAGAATGCCTATAACGAGGGTTTTGAACGCACCTGGATGCCCGTATCAACCCCCCCTCCACGCACCTGGATGCCCTTGGCGAGCTCTTTCACGCTCATGAGCGTCTTGCGGTCGCTGAGGCGTTCGAACATCTCCTTCTCCTCCGCCAGCACCTGCTCCGTGTGGCTCAGCTCCGGCACGTCCTTCTTCAGCATCGTCGCCTTCACCAACAGGCTCGGCCGAGCCTCCGGCCCAGCTCCGGCGCCGTCCTCCCCGCCGCCGGCTCCTTCCCCGTCGCCGCTTCCCCCGGTTCCGCCGCCCTTTGCGCCCAGTGCTATACCGCGCGCGGCCGCTCGCGCGGCTAACAGCCGTTGCTGCTTCATAAGGCGTCGTTTCTTAACGGGGATATACTCCTCGTAATCATCCTCCTCCTCTCTCTCCTCCTCGTCCGCCTTCCCGTCCCCGTCTCTCCCACGATTCCCGCCGCTTTCTGCGGCGCGATAGTAGCGCCTCTTTCCTCCTCCCTCGCCGCCATCCCTCGCCGCCTCTTGACTCTGCGACCTCCCGTTGCTTCCCCCTCCGATACCCTCTCGTTCGTCCCCTCTCTTAACCTCCCCCTCTCGTCCGTACCCTCTTTTCGTGTCTCGTTCCTGCGTGAGAGCCTCGTCCCCCTCGTCGCCTTCATAAATCGTCTCCAGACCCTTCATTGCTGCCGAGCAGCAGCACGAGCAGCACGAGAAGCAGTGTAGGAAAACGCTACGCTTTCACTTCACTCCGCAGTAGGTACGAGGATACACGACTTTGAGTCAAAAACAGCTGTCAGAAACTTCGCAGCGGCGAATATGAGAGGTACTGCGCAACTTTAAGTGCTACTATCTCTAGATTCCGACTAGAATACGCAGCGGATAGGAAGGGTTCTTAGCACTACGGATAGGCTAAGAAGCTTCCGTCCAATAGTAGGAAACCTAGAGCTGGGTCGACGATCTTGCGTGCCGTCGTGTACCTCTGGCCGTTTGTCCCTAGTTGGAAGTTCGTAACCAGAATTTGGGTTCTTAATACGCAGGAGATGCACAGAAGCGACGCGCGTAAATCTGAGACACGCAGTCGCCTTGTCTGAACGTTAGAATCAGGGGGTTCCAGAGAAAGACCTTCCTCGCCGCTCTCCTTGCATTTCCAAGGCTCGGTCTTTCTTGGGGGGTGGAAGTGCGAGGACAGCAAGATAGGTTTGACACTATTCGCGTTAAAAGAATATGAATGGTGAAGTTGATACATTGAACAAGTCCGCGGACGCTGCATGCGGAAACCAAATATATAAACGAAGCAACTGTGAATGGACCTCTGCTATCTGTTCAGTTGCAAGACAGAAGCTAAATTAGGCCCTTCCATATATCAGCTTCTGCCTTCCTAAAATACTTAATTCAAGAAGCACAACATGTCATCTTCACAGAATGGCAAAATAATAGATTGAAAGTTATGGTTTCCAAACCAGGTTAGTAAATTATATACCACAAGCTATGCCTAATTGTAGGGCAGAGAGGAAAGCCAAAACTGTTGAGACTCAGGGCATGATGTGATGAAGGCGTAAAGTTGCAGTCTACAATTTAAGTGGTGTTTTTTGGGGGTATTTATTATGCCCACCCTTTCGTGCGGCCTGATTGGAGAACGAAATCAGCATGTTTCAAAAACACCGCAGCGACGAACTCAGACAGGAAACGCAAATCCAGCCCAACTTCGTGCTGACGCGTGGTTTGGGGGAAGGGTCTGCGGAAGGGCGGGAAACAATCTGGAGAGTTCGGTTTCGGGCGGAAAGAACCCCAACCCCCTCTCTCCACCCCCCTCAACCGTTAGCTTTGCATGAAAGGGGGCCGAGTCCAAAAACTGGTCACCCTGTTTTCAAGTGATAAACTCAGGCCTCCCGCTCGTAGTATAGACCACAGCTTTAAATTCCACACTTGTTGTGGAAGCGGCGCACCGCACTGTTGCTGCTGCATATGAGGCCAGAAGAGTACAAGGCCATACACAAGAAAGGATGTCGGGGATGTTGCTGCTATGGAATCGCATGAATGCTGCTGTGGGTGGCCCACTCTTGTTCGTGCCCTTAATGTGCAATCCACTTGTGTGCTGCTGCAATTTCTAGCCCATATCAGTGCAGGTCAGGGCACGGAGCCTTGGCTTGGGCCATGCAGGAGACAGGCAGTGGGCAAATGATTGCTGCTGCTACAGCAGCACATGAGAGCTGGTAGCCAAGGCAGGGGTCATCAGTGCCTGTGAAGTTGCTTCCGAATCCATGGATGCTCTGCCAGAATGAAAATACATAGCGCACGTTGTCAGGCAAACCGGGTAATGGCAAGAAATGAAGCAAACAATTGTGATGGTAATGGACGAAAATGAAACCGAGCAGTGGACTGCTGGTCAGTGCTAGCCAAGGTACTCTGTGAAAGACGGGGGGGGGGGGGGGGGGGGGGGGGGGCATACCAAGGATTTCGACAGGAGTGATGCGCTTCCGCCAATCCTTCTCCAGCATCCTCGCTATAAGCTCCTTGCATTCTTCCGACACCCCTCCCCACTTGGCGGGACGAAAAACCACCGGCCGTGTAAGCACCGCTTCAGCTACAGTTCGCTCTGCTGTTGCCCAGAAAGGCGGCACACCACTCATTGCTACGTACATAACCACACCCATGCTCCACACATCCACTGCTGATCCATATTTCACTTCATTTTTCCGGGGTGTAGATACCAGCTTATTGGAATCGTCAAAAACCGCTCCCCACATTTCAGGTGCCATGTACTCAGGTGTCCCCACCACATCTGTAATCATCTCCCCTTCAGACACAAAAGCCGCTGCTCCGAAGTCTGCAAGTTTGATATTTGTATCGTCTGATGCATCCATAAGGAGGATGTTTTCGGGCTTTATGTCACGGTGTACTATTCCGTGCAAATGGCAGTGTAGGACTGCATGGGTGAGAGCTTGGCAGAGCTTGGTGCCAGAGGGTTCAGAATACGGCCCAAACTTTGTGATTCTATCGAAGAGGTCGCCACCTCTGCACAGCTCCATGACTAGGTGAACAGCCTGAAAGGAGGGTAAAGGAGGGAAACAGAGGTAGAAAAACAGAGGGCAGGGAAGAGGTTAGAAAGGAGCAAGCACAGGAGATGCAACAACCGGGCATGGTGTTTGAGCGAGAAAGGGAGGAAGGGACGGGGAGGACAGGGGAGGAGTGAGTGCATTGGAAGGACAAGCGCAGGTGGGTGGAAAAAGAGAATGTCCTACAGGTCAGGGGAGGAGTAGAGGAAATGCAGGGCTGTGGGAAGTGGGGGGAAGGGGGGGGGGGTTGGGCGGGGGGGGTGGAAAAAGAGGAGCTGTTGAGGGAGTGATGGAACTGAAAGCATGAGGGGGCTTGGGTAAGTAGTATGAGCCGCCACATACCTTTCTGTCTTCAGTCGTGTCATGGAGTGTGACTATATGAGGATGGCCACGTGCCAGGAACATGCTCGCCACCTCCCGCCTGATATCATCCGCAGCATCAGAATCTTTTATTTGGTTCTTCTTAATTGTCTTGCACGCGTACACTCGCGCCGATTCAATTTCCAAGCATTTTCGAACGCTGCCGTACTGCCCGCTTCCAAACTCCCGGTGGTGTACAACGAATCTGGACGCGATGTCTTCGTAAGGTTTCAAAAGAACCGACGACGATACCGCTGAACAGGATGATCGTCTCGCTGACGTGTACGTGCATTGATATTTTTCCGCTAAGGAGCCGGTGGCGTCACTGTGTCTCGCGTCTCTGTCGCGAGTCTGTTTTTGAGGCGACTCAAAAACGGCGTCCCAACCGCCAGCTTGGCAGCTTCCTCTGGGTCGAGCGCTGCGTTTGCCACTGGCAGGTGCGTGTTTTCGAACATGTCGAGGTCGCTCGTGTCGCCACGTGCATACAGCCGCATCGACGTTATCCGTGCTGCTCCTGTTCCTCCCCTCATTAGTATCACATCCGTCAGACTTGCGATCAAAATTGTCGACTCCAGCACCACCCGCATCGTCGCTCCTTGTCGCAATGGCACACGCCGTCGTCGTCGTCGCAGTAGCTGTAACCCTATTTCTTCCCTCCCTGCCAGCGACATTTTCGACAGAGTCCTTAGCAAAACAACCCTCGCCGCCAGCATGGAATTCGCCGCCGCCAACAGCGCGAGCCTCATCTCTCCGCTGCTGTACCGTCCCCGCGCTCCATCGCAAGCTCCGCTGCCTGAGCGCAGCACTCTCCTGAACCGTTGCGGGTTTTCTCGCTGCTGTTTCCGAGCCTGGTTCCGCCGCGCCGCGTTCAAACCGCCAAACGTCTCCGGTTTCCGAGCCTCGGCTCCCAGTCGAGGCTTGTTCAGGCTTTCCGCCGCTGTTGCTCGGTTCCCCGGATAGCAATTCACGCATGGTCCGAGAAGCGGCGAAAAAGAGATTAGCCGCGAATGTCGGCGAAGGGGAGTGGCTCGGCGGAGCGCCGTGATGCGCGGGCTTTTGCGCCTGCGGGGGCTCTTGCGCTTGCGCCTGCGCCGTTTTCGCTGTTTCTGACGATGGCTGGAAAACATTGCTCGCGCTACGGAAGTGCCACGTGGATTCGACTCCCTCGCTTGCTGGGCTCGCCGGATCGAAGGGCAACTCCGATTGGTCGAACGAGACGCCGGGAGCGAACGAGCACTGGCGTTCGAGAGGCGATTTAGGTGAGGATGCGCTGTCGTCGCTAATAGTGGGCATTCGGTCAATTAGGATGGGCTTCGCGGGAAAAAGACTCCGCGGGTGAATTCCGGTTCCTGACGCCATTGCGGAGTCCTCCGTTCCAGAACAGTTCGATGGCAGAGCCCTTACTAATTTCGCAATGACTAAGTACAGGTAAGCTGCTGTGTTGGCGCTCAAATAAACTGAGTCGCTTACTAATTCAACCAAGTACCTGCTTTCAGCAGATAATTATCATCCGTTGAAAAAACCTCCCCCTTTATTCAATGACGAGAAGGAAAGCGCTGATCGGTAAGCGTACTGTTGAAGGTGGAAGTGCGGATGATGAAGGTGCTGCTGTAAGCATTATCCCGCCAAAATGCAGCCAGTGTCAAAGGAGTGAATTAAACTCTGGTGACATGGAGCAAGCCGTGATGACTGGAAGCCTGAGGTATGCAAAAGATATGCTTGACTCGCTCGCCGTCACCTCTAAGAGAGTGAATTAGTACAGTACGGTTTAGCTTACTGTGCCCGACAACTAGCCGCCCACCAGACCACCACCACCAGACCATCTGTGATGGAAGGAAAGGACGGAGGGAGGTGTCCTTCCTACGAGGTTGCGCGAAGAATAATAAGGGCGTGTTACATTTTTACTTCAGCCCGTCCGGATGAGCAGTCGTCCGGACTTTATAGCGGTTACCGTTGTCGTTTATTTTCGTCAGATTCCTCGCTAGACCAATTGCGACGTCGTTAGCGATCGGACCGATGATGGAATATTTTGCGTGAATTGCCCTCCCAACTCGACCGGACGATTACAGTTCGATAAGTGGACGGACGTAACAGTAAAGCATTTTTATTGGTCTACGATTCGAGTCTTTCAGTCGCTTGAGTGTTACCTTTGTCGCAATCTCGTCGTGATCATGGTTACAACCTAGCGAACACTCTGAATTTCGTCAGGTTGAAAATGTTTCATAAACAACGTCGGACGAGGTTTAGTCTGGACGTTGGACCCGGACTACCCGAGATTCGGAATCTGAACCGTTCTCGGACGGTGGTCCGGATTTTAGCCACTTTTAAAAAATGTAGCACGCCCTAAAATGGTGGTGGCGGAACGCCCCTTGCTGGCGATTTCTTTCTCAAGCTAGCGAGGTGCGATGGAGCGAGTGTGAGTGAAATGACAGCAATGAGCGGGGAGGGAACAATGATGTGAATGGAGCAGAACCACATAAGAGAGAGATGCGATATGCGAAGAGATTTACCGCGTGAAAAATATCCTAAAGTCCCCCTGATTCTGTCCCGCGCCCATGACTGGTGAAGGGGGTTGCTGTTCCGATGGTAGAAACTACGCAACGTTGCGTGATGATGAGGGGAGGTGGGGTGATCAGGCGGGCTGACTCAAAAGGCCAAGCAGAATGTGGAACTCTGGTTGCAAAAAAAGTGTACGCCTGCTTGTGTGCGTGTAGCTACCCGACTACGACACCTAAATCTCCAGTTACTAAGTACTGTATCCCCTATTGTACACACATCCAACTTTCAGGTCAATGCTTGCTTCTCTCGCCTTGATTTGCACAGCATGCCTGAAAGAGTTCCAGTTGGGTATGTACCCCTTCATTTCCAGTTGTAGTCAACTGTACCCTTCATGTTTGTGATGCATTTGAATTCAAACAATCGGGCACGCTTACGGTGCTGAATATAACCATCATCACTCCAGTGGTGGTGCTGCTGGATCCAGCATGGTATATCTCAACGCGCCGACTACATCCGGGTGCAAAAACAACGCGGCTCGGGAAAGGGATCCGCCACCCTGCGTCATCCTGTCCGGCTAACTGAGTGCACGTCATGGGCGAGAAGCGTCACCCTGCGTCACCCGGCAATCCCGATGAGACAAACCCCGATGGCACCTCTCAACGGACCCTCCGTACGAGGTCGACACGTCGACGACGCCGGTCGCGGCCACCGTGCCACGACGTCCAGCTTGCCATCGGCGCGGACTGCGACGTAAGGCCCACCGCGATTCCTGGCCGACCACTGCTCTGGCGCGCAGAGCCACACGTCGCCCATCCGAAACACAACATTCCACGCGGCGAACATCGATCGACGAACGTCTGTCCACGCGGCCATCAAGCCTTCGGCGGCGTGCTAGCGGGAACGTCCCCGCGGGATACCATCGTCGGGCGACGCGATGAGCACTGTTGCGTCACGCCGACGTGTAAGCACGGTTCACCGTGACGGGAACACCGGACAGTCGGCTGCGAAGAAGACATGCGTGCCCCGTGCCACGTCGACCATTGCGCCGCCGTTCTGCCTTGCATGCAGGGTTGGAGACCTGCCCACGGATCGCCTGCCAACACCTGTCCGCCCGAACCGAGACTGTGCCTCTCTATGCTATGACCCCCTGACGGCCAAGTGTCCATGGCATTTCGTCACTTGTTTGTTGCGTTGCATTCATTTTCATTCTGGTGAGCCACATTTCCCTCAGTCATTTTCACGCTTCTCGGAGACCGACCGACCACGCGTGGTCCAGGGTTGACGACGAGCCACGCCGGTGTAGAGTGCGTTTAGGTCGGCAAACTGTACGGGCTTCCGACTTAGGATCATTCCGACTAGGACGACTAGCTAGGTCGACAACAACCGAAAGTCGCCGACCTCTTTCTTCAAACCCACAACCAGTATTGTCATCGCCGGTGATCCCCAGTACGGCCTCGAATGGCCAGGGACCAGTCTAACAACATCCCGCCGGACAACACCCCGACGAACAACACCCCGACCAAAAACACCCCCCCCCGCCCAACCTCCCCCCGAACAACACCCCGCCAAACGATACATTGCCACTTCACACCCCGCCGACCATTGCGCCGCCGACCACGGCCACTCCGAACATCACCCAGCAGAACACCAATCCGCCGCCCTTACTTCCCGAAATTCCCGAATTGACCGACATTGCCGCGGAGTTGACGATCGCCGAGAACATTGAGAGGGCCGAAAGACGGGCAGCCTTTAGGGCCACGGTGCGAAGGCAATACACGGCAGCGATTGTGTAGTATCGACTTTGGTGGGCTGAGCACGTACCGCCGCGAGACCGCGGCGACAACTAGAGGCCGACGGGAACAACTCTACCCGCCGAGATGGCTGGCGACGCGCCGCCGGCGGGGAGCAGCGCGATTCCCGACCTGAATGAGCCTTTCATGGAGGAAGATGTAGACGCCGCTAGGGCAAATATTCCCGCCGACATGGTGGTCGACGTAGACGCCGCTAGGGCAAAAATTCCCGCCGACCCGACCATCCCCCTACCGCCAGGGACGAAAGGGGCTCCCGAACCCGAGCCGGACCGGTACTCGCCGCTTTCGGACACGGAGCAGCCGCCGCCAATTGGACCATTTCCAGAAACGACTACATGTATCTGACCGTAAAGGACTTGTTGGCAGCCGACGAGAAAGATGACGCCTTCCTGCAAAACATTCCGCGCGACGATTTTGCGGAAGCCGCCTTCGACATCAACAAAGAGCTCGACAAGAAGAACAGATTGCTGAGGATGATGTGGGGTTTCCGGCATCTGGACACGCTGGAGGCGAGAACGACCCGGGTTCAGTACCTGCGGGCGCTGCTCGACTTCAGGAGATGGTGCTGCGCGAACCTTCCAAGACAGCAAACCGCCAGAGTCAAGGGGGACGGCGTGCTGGAACACGAGGACGAGATAGGGAGGTACATCGACGAAGACATGGGTGATCAGTGGCACACCGCCAAGGGCGACCTACAATGGATGCACGGTCCCCGCGTCAACGCCACGCGGATCAGGGCGTACATTCTGTCAATCGCGAGGCAGCATGGTATTGCAAAGGCCGAGGAGCTCGAGGAGCTCGAGGAGCTGAATCCCGACGTCCGTGTCCAGCCCCTGAAGCCGACAACCGTTTCGATGCTGCTCATCCGCATCAAAGCGCTCCAGACAGCCTGCAAGGTCGAGGGGACGCTCTTCGGGGTGAAGGAGCTCCACATCATGTACGACATCTCCGAGGTCCGCTCGGAGGTGCGCGCGATGGTCAGAGAGAAGTGGCACAGGGACGACAGGTAAGTCGGCAAGTCGTCCCGCGCGGCTCACGCCTGTTTCCCGGTTCGCCCAGCTAACCCAGTCCTCGTGGAAACTGATGTGCAGGGATTGCGTCGACCGGCACCGCGGAACGCTCGGCGACACGTACACCACCGACCAGATCCGCCACCTCATGTTCAAGGTCTTGCCGACCTGGGCAGCTCGGGCGTACGAACCCAAAGCGGCCACCCCCTCCCAGACACTGTGGAAGTTTCTGCTGATGAAGACGATGACCCTCTTGGGTCACCACACCCTTCTCCGCGGAGCCAGTCTCCGAGCGATCGAGCTCCCCGACCTGTTTTTGTACAGAATGGGGAACGCGTCGCCCGAGCACTCCACGCGACGGCCGGTTGTCATGGTCGTCGCGTCACGAAACTCCAAGACAAACAAGGATGCTCGTCTGCATCACAGCTACGCGGCGAGACACCTGGAGCAAGAGATGTGCGCCGTCGGTCACACACTGTTGTGGCTGCACTTCGTGTACGGCCAGCTGAGCCGCTCGCCCACCTCTCGATGTGTGCCGCCCCTCGACTTCACAACTCCGTACAGCTGGTATCACAAGCACCTCTTTCATGCTCGGAACGACAAGGCACAAAAAGAGCTGCCGGCTTCATCTCATTCTCGGATCACGAAAGAGATGTGGCGGACGAACAAGATCTTCATCACGCGCAACACCCACGCCGCCCGGGCGGGTGGGGCACAGGAGCTGGCCGACGACGGCGTTCCGCGATCTGACATCGCCGACTTGGGCCACTGGGCGCTCGACAAGCTCGCGAAGAGCTACATCACGACCATCCCGAAGGCGGCGGTGTTGAGAAAGGCCGGCTACACGGGCAAGCGCGGCGACTACCACCTCGGCCGGAGCATGGTGAAGCCCGACGACAAGGTTGTGGCCCTCATCGCCCAGCACATCTTTCCGTGGGCTGAAGCGGAACTGGCCAAGGTGAGCATTTCGGACGGCAAAAACGTCGACAACCCGCCGACCATTTCCACGACGACATTCTACCGACGGCTGATTGTGTTTGTGTTTGTGTTCGACTCGCAGGCGGTAAGGTGCGCATCCGCGAGAGAGCCCAACACGGCCGGGGTGCACTTCCTGCAATCGCTCATCGAGTTCGGCCGCCGAATCATCGCCGAGGATCTTGCGTGCATGCTGATGCGCGAACCGTGGCACCCGTACGTCCAGAGTTCCAAGCTCTGCCGCGACCCCGACTTCCAGAAATGGGCCAAGGACGTCAACCGGGTGGACCTCGAAACCATCGCGACGCGCAGTACTCCGAGCGAGAACCCCCAAGAGGTACGGCGTGCGCGTTCCGACGACCTGTAAAACAAGTCGTCCTGCCACATTGGCTCACCTTTTGCCGACCATCCCCCTTGGATCGCAGGAATTCAGCGCGCGAGTCGACGCCAAATATCAGGTCGGCCAGCTCACCATGATGATGCACCGCCAGAGGGAGGATGCCACGATGGAGAAGCTTGAGATGCAGAAGAAGTTGGAGGAGAAGGACGCGGAGATCGCGAAGTTGATGCAGGCTCTCAAGCTGGCCGAGGCACGGCCGACGCCGACTGCGCCGGCACCGTCAAGGCCGATGACCGCTGCCGAGAAGGCAGCGTCCGTTAAGATCGAGAAGGAACAGGACGATGACCTGACGTACGAGGTCAACGTCGTGCATCCCTAGCACACATCCAAGACGGTCGAGGCTGCATGGCGCTGGTGGAACAACCCGTCCAACTTCGACTCGCGTTCGTTGCGCGAACGTTACGACGAGCACAGATTCCTCGTCAGACACACGCGCATGATCTGCAAGGTCGAAAAGGGCGACAAGCCCGCCGCGTCGGGGAAGTCGGCAAAGAGCTCTCGTCCCACGACCGAGGTGGGTGAGACGGGGAAAAACGATGCGCTGCAGCACTGCACTCGCCGGATGAGGCGGATCATGGAAGCGGTGCACGACTTGCGGCGGAGCGACGACGCTGCTGACACCGCCGCCGTCATCAAGCTACTCGACCACCTGGGGCGAGCGGGGCTTTCCACTTTCAGCGACGCGCTCTTGGTCCTCCGTGCAACCCCGCCCATCAAGGTCCCCACCACAGCCGACGGAAAGTCGGTCGGCATCAAGGGTCTGGACAAGCCGCTGGCGAGGAAGCTCGCCGTTGCGTGGGGCATGGTCACAACGGGCTACATGGACGCTGACTGGGGAAAGAGGCTCTTCGGCGACTTGTGGGATGTGCAGGCCAATAAGGCCGGCTTGGAGGCCGAGGCGACGGCGGGAGCCATCGGCGCAGGGAAGCGCAAGAGGGCGGGCTGAGGGTACTGCGTCTGGGTCCGACTTGTGCTGCTGGCTGAGCGTGGTGTGACTGAGGGTGGGTTGAGGGCGGGCCGAGGGCGGGCTGAGGGCGGGCTGAGGGTGGGCTGGGGGTGTGCTGAGCGTGTCCGACCTGTTCTAGTGATCCTATATGGTTTTCTTTTACTGCCAACGTTGTTTCGACTTGTAAATTAGTAGAAGTTTGTCTGTTGTCCATGCATCAAACCGACTCCACACCACAAAACCTACTTCACAGCGTTTTTGAAAAACTACCGACGAACAAGTTCAGCATCCCTAAGCCGGAGAGGCACAACAAAACAACAAAACAGCACCCGAAACACGTCGACCATGTCACGAGCGGTCGGGCCAGCGTTTGTAGGTCTTCGTCAGAAAGCTTGCAGCGTTTGCACCCACGCCGACCATGCTACGAGCAGGCGGGCCAGCCTTCGTCGACCTAGGCGTCGGCGACCTGCTTCCCTTTGTGCTGCTGCCCCCTCGCCCCCCTGTCCCGAATGATAATCTTCATCTGGGGGTCGATAGGCAAATCGACGCCGCGAGCCTTGAGCTTCGGGCCTCCGACATTGCAGTCCCCCCAGAAGGCGAGGTTCTCTATCATGACACGGGCGATCAGCTCGTCGTGCTCGCGCTCCTCCCCGACCTCAGGCAGCGACCTCACCACAGCCGCCTGCAGGTCCTTTGTCACCGTTTCGGCGACCTCCCCTACGACGACCACCCAGGAGGCCGCCCGCTGAAGCACCGCCTCGATGACGGTCCCACACCGACTCGCGAACTCGTTGGACGCTCCGCGCACGGTCGCTGCTGCCCCCCCTTCGCCGGCCGCTACTTCTGCCGTGGCATTGGTCTCCGAAAAACACCACACCGCGGCCGCAGTACCGGCGAGGATCTCGGACAACCGCTCCGACCCGACGCCCGAAATGGGCGTCACTTTCGCGGCCACCGGTGCGAAGGCGGCACACATCGAAACGCGTGCGATCATGTCGCTCGCCACCTTGTTCTTCGCGCGCGGTCGGCTCCGGTTATCCTGTTGTATTCCGCGACCACCTGTTGGAACCTGCGAAACACAGCAGGAATACCCACCGTCACCGACCGGCCCACGCGAACCGACCGAAACGAGCACCAAATTGAGCATTCGCCAAGCTTACCTGTCGCGGAAGACGTTCGCCCCTAGGCTCCACATGACCATCCACATGCCCCCCGGGATAAATCGCGCCACATTCCAGTCCGCCTTATACTGCGCCATCACTTCCTCCTTGACCCCACCGAACTCGTCGAGAACCACGTCGCTGACGAAGCCGTCGAACGACGAAACGGCGACAGCGATGCAGTAGGCGGCCTCGGACTTGTCCATCGACCGGCAGATGTAACGGCTCTTCTTCCCAAACTTCATCTCCGAGACGGCCAGCCCATTTGAAGGGTCAACGCGGACGCCTGAACCCTTCTGACCCTGCGCGGCCGCTTTGGACGTCCCCTTGGAAGAGCCGACCTTCGCCGGGCCGCCCTTCGCCTTGTCCTTGCCCTTGCGCTTTTGCTTCCCATCGCCGACCTCACCGGTTGTGGCCGGGGGGGATTTGGCGCCAGCCGCGCTATGGTCCTCCGCAAGAGCAGTCGAGGCGGCTGGTGCACCCTGTTGCGCTCCCACGGTGGGAGCTGCTGCTTGTAGTTTTTCCCGCATGACCTCGATTTCCAGGTCTGGCATCACGATCCTGGCGAGGATCTCTTCGTCCACCCCGCCGGCCTCTTCCGCCGCTCTCCACACAGCCGCCTCCACCGTTGAGCCACTCGGCCTTGCAGTCGCCGCCGCGACGTTCGCTGCCTCTGCTCCTTGGTCGACCGCCTGGTTGCTGTGAGTCGGAGGAATTACCGGGGTTTTCTGACCTTGATCCTCGAGCCATTTCAGATACTCGTCGAACGATGGGTTTTGAGTGATTAGAGCCTCGACCGCCCGAGACTCAACAGCCGTTGGGATCGGGATCGGTTCCGCGGCGACCATGGCCCCATGAACGGGTAAGCTGGCCGCACCGGCAGCCTGCTGGACATGCTGTCCGACCACCGCTGCTGGGCGCAAGAGCTCGTCGACCAGCGCCGTGACACCACCCGGTCGCGCGTCACGTGCAGTGGCAGGACTCATCGCGATGTGGGGATGCTGGCCCGCCGCGGCCTGCTGGACATACTGTCCGACCACGGATGCTGGGCGCAAGAGCTCGTCGACCAGCGCCGTGGCGCCAGCCGGACGCGCGTCCTGTGCAGTCGCCAGACTCGTCGCGGTGGGGGGATGCTGGCCCGTACCTGGCGGCCCGCCCTGCTGTCCGACCACCGCTGCTGGGCGCAAGAGCTCGTCGACCAGCGCCGTGACGCCAGCCGGACGCGCGTCTTGTGCGGTCGGCGTGCTCGTCGACGGGTGAAGATGCTGGCCCGCACCGCGCGGCCCGCCCTGCTGTCCGACCACCGCTGCGGGGCGCAGGAGGTCGTCGGGCAGTTGCGCTGTGACGCCGGTCGGTCGTGCAGTCGGCGGACTCGTCGAGGGTTGAACATGCTGGACCGCAACGGGCTCCCCGCGCGCTTGGCCGACCACCGCTGCGACGTGCATGTCGTCTGCCATCTGGGCCGTGCCGCCACTCGGTCGAGCGCCTTGTGCAGTCGCCGGACTGGCCTCGGGGTGTGGATGCTGGTCCGCCGTTGGCTGCCAGCCCTGTTTCGCGACCACGGATGCCTCTCCCATGAGCTCGTCGGCCAGACTCACCTGGTCGCAGCTCGGTGGCGCGTCGTGTGCGCTCGAGCGGATCGGTCGGGGCCTGTGGATCGCCACCAGGCTCAGCACCCCCAGGCTCAGCGGAGCGGATCTTCTTTGTGAAGAGGGAGCGCCACCAGGCTCAGCACCCCCAGGCTCAGCACCCCCAGGCTCAGCACCCCTAGGCGCAGCACCCCCAGTCGCAGCACCTCCAGACTCGGCACCCCCAGTCTCAGCACCCCTAGTCGCAGCACCTCCAGGCTCAGCACCCCCAGTCTCAGCACCCCAAGGCTCAGCACCCCCAGGCTCAGCACCCCCAGTCTCAGCACCCCCAGTCTCAGTACCCCTCTCAGGACCAGAGTCAACAGCTACCTCGACAGGCTCGACTGCGTCTACCTGGGAAACACCTGAGGGAGCAGGACCCTGTGGAGGGAGGGGGTCTACCGAAGGGGCACCTGGGGTGAGGAAGAGAGGAGGGGGAGGGAGCGGAGCAGTGCGGTAGGGGAACACAAGGTAAAAGGGTACCGACTCGTCAAAGGTGACGTCCTGAGAGGGGAAGACACGACGCGAGGTGGGGTGGTAAAACTGCCAACCAGGCGCGTCAGGGACAAAGCCAAGGAAGACACAGGGCATAGCGCGGGCAGAGAGCTTGTCTGCAGTGGTATCGCGGACAAAGGCACGAGCACCCCAGACCCGGAAACGCGACGCATCGCCAACCTGCCCCGTCCACTGGAGTGTGGGCGAGGTCTCTGGAGCAGAGACACGGGGCCAGAGGTTGAGCTGATGCGCGGCGTACTGCACTGCAAACGGCCACAGGAAATGGGGGGCAGCCGCATGGATCATGGACGTACGAGCGACCTCCATGACTAGACCAATGCGGCGCTCAGCAACCCCATTTTGCTGTGGAGAGGCCGGAAGCGTGAACGTCTGGCGAATGCCGTGCTCCGCACAGTAGGCTGCCAAGAGGTCAAAGGAAAACTCACCACCTTGGTCAGAGTGCAGACGCAGGACAAGAAAGTCCGACCGGAACCGGTCGCGGAGCTGGAGACGAGCAGCGCGGATCCAAGGGATCAAAACATCAGGGACCTCACCCTTGGTGCGTGAGGGGAAGACCGTGGTGTAGCGCGTGTAGTCGCCGACAACCAGCAGGAAGTACCGCTCGTGGCCCTGTCCACGGACGCGGACTGGGCCCCACACGTCCAGGTGGAGAGTCTGCAGAGGAGCCTCTGTGGGAGGGAACGAGGAGGAGTGAGGAGCGGCGCGCTGCCGCCCCTCAACACAGGGAAGACAGGGTGGAGCAGGCGAGGGCAGGAGGGGAGGGAGAACCCTGGGAAGACCGGAGACAAGGTACCGGGAGTGCATGCCACGAAGGCGCTGCACTGACGGGTGACCAAGACGGTGGTGCCAGAGAACTCTCTGGTGCGACAGGGAACGACATGAGCAGGGGGCCGACAGCTGACCTGACGCAGACGTAGACGCAGCTACTTGAGGGGACTCAGTGGTCAGTGTGTACAGGTCCGACCCCGACTGCCGAGTGAAGGTAACTAGGTGGCGACCTGTCCGAGCACACGTACAGTGGGTCACACGCTCATAGGCAGGGGTGAACTGGTGAACACCCCCATCCTGAAGAGCAGAGCCCGCCACCAAGTTCGTAGAGAACGAGGGGAGGTAAAGACCCGACAGGGTGCCGGACGGGACCGCAGGACAAGGGAGGACAGTGGAGGAGGTCGCAAGGACCGGGCCCCCAGAGGGGTCAGCGAGGGAGACAACAACTGGCCGAGCTAGCTGCTCAAGGGCAGTGCGGTCACAGAAGAAACAGCGGGAAGCACCTGAGTCGAGTGTGAAGGTGTGCAGTGCCTCAGTAGACGCAGTACCAGCAAGTGCAGACGCACTAGCACCTAGAGCAGCAGCCTCACCAGGACCTAGGGCAGCAGACGCACTAGCTCCAAGAGCAGCAGCCTCACCAGGACCTAGGGCAGCAGACCCACTAGCACCTGGAGCAGCTGTCTCACTGGTCCCAATGCCCGGGTCGGGCGGTACACTCAGGTAGCAGTCACCCTCAACACTAATAGTCAATGCATACATGGCACCAAGGATAGCATCAAAGTCAAGAGCAAAGATATCAATGTTCTTCCTACGCAGATCAGCCCAGCGGGGCAGCTCAGTGGCGTCAAGAAACTGCTCACGCCAGGCATCGTCAAGACGAAAGAAGCAGCGGTGTGCCGTGTGGAACCTCCCACAGATCTGGCCAGTG